TGCACATCTAGGTTTATCTGTAGGTTATATTGCATTAGGATTTGGGTTATCAACTACAATGACTGACTGGCGGTTTGGTTGTTTCGATTTAATATGTTTTATGGGATACAGACTATCCATCGTAACAAATGGGTAGACACAGAGACAATAGATGTCAATGCAAGACTTATGGTGGTGAAGACCTCTTGAACAAAAAAGCTTATTGAAACCATACCCGTACCCATATTCAGGTTTGAACAACACTAATGACGTAATGGTGTTTGTTTGTTTTAGATACAAGTGAGTTTTAATATGTAATTCATTGAATAGTAAGAATTATAAGAAAAGCCTAGAATCAGGTACCTAACGGAATTGTTTAGAAGAAACCTGCCTATTGTTGGAGACTTCAGGTACAATTGTACATGAACAAAATGAGCCTGGAACAAAACAGACAAGAATGAATCAACATATTGTTTCACTGCAACACATATTCTTGATTAAACTTCATAAACATTTTTAAACTTTGTCATGCAGAATTTGATTGAAGCTTTTGGAGAATTTAAAGATAATCGCTTGGAACAAGATGTGGATGTTATCACCGAGACTATTATCAACAAAAGAATAAAAGATGTGGAACATTATCATGTAGGTGGGGATGAGTCGAGCAAGAAGATGAAGAACATCAAAATAGAGAAAGACTAAAGACTAGATATTTTATTTTAGAGTTTCAACAGATCCTATCTTGATTTGATAAGTTTTTATTTAAGATTGACCGCTAGACAAGCTATGATTTATAAGTGTTTGGTTTTTTATGATTTACTTTATAATTTAAACGCGTTTAAAGACTTTGAGGCTTCCATTCCGACCACTGCATCATATATGTTTATTTTTTAATTCAAAACATATTAGTCTTATTCCTTTATATTTCGCTCTACTTCGTGACTTCAATGACTATGTAAGTAAAAGATTTCATTCTTCTCATTTTTTTTCAATTGTGGATTTATAAAAAAAGGATATTAGTTTAATCAATATAAATTACAATTTAAAATTATAATCCATAAAAAATCTTTAAAATAGACACAAAATATTATTAAACTAAGCGAAGAGAATGTAGATCTCTTTAACATGTTATAAATTCGTTTACACTTAAAACAACCCCTATTAAGTGTGATCCGAAATTGGATAATAAATAGCTAAAACATTTATAAATATGCCCTTGATTATTATTTTTG